TTCTCCCTTTTGGGTGGGCCAGACTCTCTTTGGCAGCAGTAAGAGTAAAAGGTAGGGCAATAGAGGAAGTTCAGTGACCACAGCAGCCTGCCATTATCACCGCACCTGGAGAGCGAGCTCTCTTTTCCGTATCCTAAGGTTTTTCCTAAATAGTGAAAAAGATCAGAAGGAATAGGGGAGGCAAGAACATCTGCTTTCTTTGCAACAACCACACGAACAGGAGAGATGACAGGTGTGCAGGCCCCAAAAATCCTTGAGGTTGCAGGTTGAGCATGATCCTCCTGCTGATTTACAACCCAAGCCCATTTCTTCTGCTTTTCACTCTTCACCCACTGCAAAAATTCTCTCCCATATCCCTCTCCAATCCCCAAGAGGAGTTAGTTGGATGGGTTGGCCTGCCTCTAGTTACTGCTTATTTAATTTGATTGTGGATTTTAATACCATTAGCACAAATTGGAGTGGTGTCTGCAGAGTCGGGCTTCAGCTCATCCTCTGCCATTTGTGTTCTTGGCTTATCTTCTCCTGTGGTTTCAAGAATGTAAAGGTTCCACGGTGCCTCCTCCTTATCTTGTCTCTTTGTTCACATGTCTCCTACTCACTCAACTGAAGTATTTGTGTGGCTTTTGTTTGTTTGTTTGTTTATCTGCACATAAGCCAAAATGAAAACTTGGAATCTTTTTGGTCACATCCTACTTCCTTCAAAGCTCTATAGATGTTACTGCATTGTTTTTTTAGGTTTACTGTCTGGAGACAGTTTGAGGGTATATTATTTTTCTAAATGCTTGCAGAAGTACTGCTCTTGTGGATTATGGTCTAATGGAGAGGAAATAAATTATTTGTGATAAAGAGTGTAATATGCCATGAACTAATCTTATTTGTTATGCGTGTGTGTGCATCCTAAGTCGCTTCAGTTGTGTCCGCTCTTTGTGACCCTATGGACTGCTGCCTGCCCGGCTCCTCTGTCCATGGGATTCTCCAGGCAAGATTACTGGAGTGGAGGAGTGGGTTGCCTCTTCTGGGGGATCTTCCCCACCCAGAGATCAAACCTGCCTCTCTTATGTCTCTGACATTGGCAGGCAGGATTTTTACCACTAGCACCACATGGGAAGCCCCATATTTGTCGTAATCTCTGCCCTTTTCACAAGATTTGGGGAAGATAAAATATAAACATATTTATATTTTCAAAAGGCAAAGGAGAAAAGGAAAAATATATCCATTTGGATTCAGAGTTCCAAAGAATAGCAAGGAGAGATAGGAAAACCTTCCTAAGTGATCAGTGCAAAGAAATAGAGGAAAACAATAGAATGGGAAAGGCTAGAGATGGCTTCAAGAAAATTAGAGACACCAAGGGAACATTTCATGCAAAGAATGGCACAATTAAGGACAGAAACAGTATGAACCTCACAGCAGAAAATATTAAGAGGTGGGAAGAACACTCAGAAGAACTACACAAAAAAGATCTTAATGACCCAGATAACCACGATGGTGTGATCACTCACCGAGAGCCAGACATCCTGGAGTGCGAGGTCAAGTAGGCTTTAGGAAGCATCACTATGAACTAAGGTAGTGGAGGTGATGGAATTCCAGCTGAGCTATTTCAAATCCTAAAAGATGATGCTGTGAAAGTGCTGCACTCAGTTCAGTTCAGCTCAGTCGCTCAGTCGTGTCCAACTCGTTGTGTCCCCATGAACCACAGCACGCCAGGCCTCCTGTCCATCACCAACTCCTGGAGTCCACCCAAACCCATGCCCATTGAGTCAGTGATGCCATCCAACCATCTCATCCTCTGTCGTCCCCTTCTCCTCCTGCCCTCAGTCTTTCCCAGCATCAGGGTCTTTTCCAATGAGTCAGCTCTTCGCATCAGGTGGCCAAAGTATTGGAGTTTCAGCTTCAACATCAGTCTTTCCAATGAACACCCAGGACTGATCTCCTCTAGGATGGACTGGTTGGATCTCCTTGCAGTCCAAGGGACTCTCAAGAGTCTTCTTTAACACCACAGTTCAAAAGCATCAATTCTTCGGCACTCAACTTTCTTTATAGTCCAACTGTCACATCCATTCATGACCACTGGAAAACCATAGCCTTGACTAGACCTTTGCTGCACTCAATATACCAGCAAATTTGGAAAACTCAGCAGTGGCCACAGGACTGGAAAAGGTCAGTTTTCATTCCAATCCCAAAGAAAGGCAATGCCAAAGAATGCTCAAACTACCACACAATTGCACTCATCTCACACGCTAGCAAAGTAATGCCCAAAATTCTCCAAGCCAGGCTTCAACAGTACATGAACAGAGACTTTCCAGATGTTCAAGCTGGATTTAGAAAAGGCAGAGGAACCAGAGATCAAATTGCCAACATCCACTGGATCATCAAAAAAGCAAGAGAGTTCCAGAAAAACATCTATTTCTGTTCTATTGACTATGCCAAAGCCTTTGACTGTGTGGATCACAACAAACTGTGGAAAATTCTTAAAGAGATGGGAATACCAGACCACCTTACCTTCCTCCTGAGAAATCTGTATGCAGGTCAAGAAGCAATAGTTAGAACCAGACATGGAACAACAGACTGGTTCCAAATTCCGAAAGGAGTACATCAAGGTTGTATATTGTCACCCTGCTTATTTAACTTCTATGCAGAGTACATCATGGGAAATGCCAGGCTGAATGAAACACAAGCTGGAATTAGGATTGCCAGGAGAAATATCAATAACCTCAGATATGCAGATGGAGAAGGAAATGGCAACCCACTCCAGTGTTCTTGCCTGGAGAATCCCAGGGATGGGGGAGCCTGGTGGGCTGCTGTCTATGGGGTCACACAGAGTCGGACACGACTGAAGCGACTTAGCAGCAGCAGCAGCAGCAGTTATGCAATTGACACCACCCTTATGGCAGAAAGCAAAGAGAAACTAAAGAATCTCTTGATGAAAGTGAAAGAGGAGATTGAAAAAGCTGATTTAAAATTCAACATTCAGAAAATACTAAGATCATGGCAACCGGTCCCATTACTTCATGGCCAATAGATGGGGAAACAATTTAAACAGTTACAAACTATTTTTTGGGCTCCAAAATCACTGCAGATGGTGACTGCAGCCATGAAATTAAAAGATGCTTGCTCCTCGAAAGAAAAGCTATGACCAACCTAGACAGCATATGAAAAAGCAGAGACATTACTTTGCCAACAAAGGTCCATCTAGTCAAAACTATGGTTTTTCCAGTAGTCATGCATGGATGTGAGAGTTGGACCATAAAGAAAGCTGAGTGCCAAAGAATTGATGCAAGGATATTAAAAGTCAATTCTAAAGGAAATCAGTGCTGAATGTTCATTGGAAGGACTGATGCTGAAGCTCCAATACTTTGGCCACCTGATGTGAAGAGCTGACTCATTGAGAAAGACCTTAACATTGGGAAAGATTGAAGGCAGGTGGAGAAGAGGATGACAGAGGATGAGAAGGTTTGGATGGCATCACCGACTGGATGGACATGAGTTTGAGCAAGCTCCTGGAGATGGTGAAGGACAGGAAAGGCTGGTGTGCTGCAGTCCACGGGGTAGCAAAGAGTTGGACACGACTGAGCGACTGAAATGAACTGAACTGAACTGAAATATAAACATATGAACTTGTGCACCATTCGGAAATGGAAGTCACCCAGTCTCCTCTGATGTAGAAAATGGGGTAGGGACACGTTTCCAGGAGGAAGAATTCACTCTAGGATCTTGGCTCCACATAGACTAACCCTGAACTAAGACTTCAGCCTAGAAATCCCCGCTGTTGGCTTTCACAGCTCAACTGGCTATCAGGTTATAGTCACTTCAGTCAGCCAGATGCCTTCTCCATGGCTTCTTGATATGCCGGGAGGTCCCTTTCCTTTGCAGATGCACCCAGGGACTCACATAAAGTTGTTAAGTCAACACTCGCAAGAACTCTGCATTTGATTTGTTTTCTGGATAAATCTGTCTGAAGCAGGGAACCTCACCACTTTCTTTCTTTTCAGTTCTTTAATCCTAAAGCCTGGGCTATACTCAAATCACTTCATAAATCTATGACCACTGAAGTAGCCTTTCCCCATCTGCCAAAAATTCCCAAACCCACATTTTTCACGGAGACTTTTCTTAGCAGAGCTCTTCCCCTGCAGTGCTTTAACACCATATCCCGATGAACACTGAGTCAGGTGCTTGTGGATTTGGCTGATGAGGCTGAGATTTCCCTGTGCCTCGGATTCCTGGTGTGGAAAAATCGAGCTAACAGGATCTCTCCCAAGGCTCTGCTGAGAGAAAATCAAATGAAATAATGCATACGCACTTGCACAAGACCTGGCTCAAACCCCACCAATATATATTTTATTACTTTCTACGTTGTCAAAACACAAGTATTGTGTCTTGCTACCAGAGAGAGCAATTCCTATTAAGTCAAGCATCCCTCGCAACACCCGGGGTTGTAGGCTCTTTGAACAGTCTATATGATGTATGTGCGTACATAGACCAGCTTGCTCTCTCTCTGTGTGTCTGGATGCCCAGATTTCGTTATCAAAGAGTCAGAGCCCATCAGAGAATTTAGCAGCAGCCAGGCACGGTTTTTTCTGGTTTTTCCTTCTCCTTTGTAAGGTCTTTGTTCCGCCCCTGGCTACACTCTCACAGAACCACTTACTGGGGATTAAAAGGAGGGGACTCGGCCGGCGAAGGCGGGGCCTGCAGGCACGGGGGGCCCAGCGATTGGGTTCACCCTCGGGGGCTGCGGTTTCTTAAGTGCCAGCCAGCGGGCGCCGGCCAACCTCCTCCCGCCCCCCGCCCCACTCCGCCCCGCCACAGCCGAGGACCAACCGGCCGCCCCAGACGTCAGCCGCGCGCAGCAGAGCCTTGCAATTGAGTCCCGTTTGGCAGCTGCAGACGGGCGGACAGACGGACGGCGGTGGCGATCGAAGGCGCAGGGAGGCCCGCGCGGCGGGAGGGAAGAGACGTCCGCAGGGCAAGCAAGAGCCAGACCCGCAGCCTCCCCCGACAGAGCCATGGACAGCACCGGCAATGCCACCCTGCTCTTCGGCACCGGCAACGCCACCCTGCTCTTCGGCACCGACAACGCCACCCTGCTCTTCGGCCCGTCCACGCTGCCTCCGGACAATTACACCTTGTCGCCCACCGCCAGCAGCCTGAGTCCCGGCCCGGACGCACCCCTGGCGCCGGCCTCCAGCGCCGGCCCGGGCCCCGTGCTCAGTGTGGCGCCGGGGCCCGGAGTCAGTTTCAGCCCCGGCCCCACTCCAACCCCGGCGCCGACGGCCGGCAGCTTCGCGGGCGGCGCGGGTGGCCCCAGCCCGCCCCTGTTCGCTCGGCCCGAGGCGGCCCACGAGCCCCCGTTTTGGGACACGCCGCTGAACCACGGACTGAACGTGTTGGTGGGCGCCGCCCTGTGCATCACCATGCTGGGCCTGGGCTGCACGGTGGACGGGAACCACTTCGCGGCGCACGTCCGCCGGCCGGTGGGCGCGCTGCTGGCCGCGCTCTGCCAGTTCGGCTTCCTGCCGCTGCTGGCCTTCTTGCTGGCGCTCGTCTTCTCCCTGGACGGCGCGGCCGCCGTGGCGGTGCTCCTCTGTGGCTGCTGTCCCGGCGGGAATCTCTCCAACCTCATGTCCCTGCTCGTGGACGGCGACATGAACCTCAGGTACGGAGCTGCTTTCGGTCCCATAGGCGTCTTTCTAAACGCCGTCAACCGCGTTTACAGCCACGTGTTCAAGACCAAGGAGGGAGGAAGTAGAGGCGGTTGGCATGAGGTGCGGGAGAGCTGCAAAGAAACGAGATGAGGGTGATGACCAGGCAGACATGAAGAGGTAGGGTTGGAGGGGAGAAGCTCTAGATGGGAACAGAGGTGCTCTGAGGTCTGGGGGTCTCATCCATAGCTCTCTCCCCACCCTCCCTGACTGTTGCACTGTCAGTGCAGGTCTGTGGGCCCCAGAAGACAAAGGGAACTGGGAAGTCTGAAGCCAGGATTTGGGAAATGTAAAAGCAAAATAGGACTGTTGGCTCCAGTAAAGAAAGTAATCTCATATATAAGATTGTGATTGAGGTCATTCCAACAAGTAGTATCTGGCAGCTTTACCATGTGCTTCAGGGTGCTTTGGAGGATTAGAAAAGAGAACAAAAATATTACTTGCCCTCACAATCATCCAGAGGGTAACCAGTGCAGTAGGCTGCAGAAAGCAGAGAGCCACAGTCCTGAGATTCTTTTTATCTTACCTGGAGTTCCTGTTTCAATTGGGCTTAGACATGCTGCTCTCTTGGTGCTCCCCTGAGATGAAGCAGGTTCACCCCTGACTTCAAACTGGGGGTCTTGTAGTCACCCTCTTTCTCCTTTATCCAGTGTGCAAGCAAGGCTCTTGGGCTCAAAGCTGTTCCAACTTCTGTCCATTCCCTTTCCTGCAGCATCATCATGACCATCTCCTCCACCCTCCTGGCCCTGGTCTTGATGCCCCTGTGCCTGTGGATCTACAGCCGGCCTTGGATTGACACCCCCCTGGTGCAGTTACTGCCCATAGGGACGGTGATCCTGACGCTCTGCAGCACTCTCATCCCCATCGGTTTGGGCGTCTTCATCCGCCACAGATACAGCCGGGTGGCCGACTACATTGTGAAGGTAAGGTCGCTCTTGCCTGCTTTACATTCATAGAGGGTCCCTGGTCTCTGACCCACGGCCGAAATGGGGAGAAGTTTGGAAAAGAAGGATAAGGAAGAAAAGGACTGGGCAGCCCTTGCATGGATAAACTTAAAAAATTATGCCAGGAAGATAACTTCCATCCCATCTTTTAGAACTTCAAAAATAACAGCTTTAATTAATATACCAAGGTTGATTAAAAACAGCATAAGATAACTGTCAGTATTCATAGGTGGAAACAGATCATGAGGAAAAAAGATGACAGTGCAATTAAATGGCAACATGTTTTTCACTAAGAAGTCATGTATTACTAAAAATCAAAGCAGGTGAAATAAAGTTATTTTAATTGGATTTGTGCAGTATTTTAGAAATGCATTACTATTCTTTAAAAGTGGAACTCTAGTTCTCAGAAACTCTGTAGCAGATTCCTTTACAATGTTTTATTAGTTTTCTAAAAGTAAGTTTACACTAATAAGACCAAAGGTAATTCAAAAATTACATCATGGAATATAATAGAATACACAAAATAAAATTAGGTCCTGGGTAAATAATGCAGAATATATTACCATTACTAAATTTGTGTTTCTTTTTCCTTCCCCATTGCAATATTTCATATGATTTTAGTGAAAGGATGAAATTTCTATTATTTTGTGCAATATTTCCAATATTGCTTTATTTTTAAAAAGTAATGCTTTTTGTAGCAGTAGAGATTTTGTAATAAATGATTGGAGGAAAAAATTTAAATATTTGTAAATTAAACTTTCTTTGAAAACTCAAAAATAGTAGTAAACAAGAGTAAACCATGAACAGGATTCTCATTTTAGGAAGTTAAATAAAGTAAATAACTAATTACCATAGAATGTATATGCAAATTCCTTTAGAAAACAAAGAGAAAAAGGCTCACCCTAATGTTTAAATTATGTAGATTTAAGATGACATAATCCTTTGTGTTTTACTTATTTTATTTATTAAAGTAATCTGATACAGAGGGGCTAACTTTAATATGAAAAATAGAGGGCTCTTTTCAGTACATATATTCAAACTTGAGTAAAAAAATATGCTCTGTAATAAACATATATTCTTTGAATGTAATAATTGCAGGTGGATTGTTTACTGTCTGAGCTGCCAGGGAAGCCCAATAAATATACATGTATATGTAAACATAAATATTTTAATGTTAAACATAATATACTATAGATCATTTTGAGAGCATTAAGAACTTATTAAGTTTGATCATTAAGCTAATAGTATTAATGTGATGCATTTACTATAAAACCTTAGGAATTCTAAGAGAAAGTCAATCAAATACCCTATTCCCATGCTAAAAATAAATATATTTAAATAACAGACAATCCAATGAGACTGTCTAACTTAGAGTTAAAGCTGGACCTATTTCTTAACTAGCACACTCATAGATCTGCTTCATAATATTTTTATACTTTTGCAAACACTTTAAAATGAGTATTCAATGTCAGTGCTCATGCAAATGATTTAAAATGGTTCAAAGGAAATGATTCAGAGCCACTATTTTCACAATGAAGAATCAGATTTCTTGTCAAAGCTTTTGATGTAGACACACTTTGACACTTAATATAAGTTTTGATTGGTACATTTGTAGCATGAGTATCTTATATTATTTCAGTACTCTTTAGAATAGATTTTTGACCAGCCCAGATACATTTTGAATGATTTTTTAAAGAGTATATGCCAATCCCACAGACTCCAAAGGATTATCTTCCCACATATCTATGAAACCAGAAGCAACACTTAAATGGCTCTGGAACTGTCCTCTTCCTCACAAACACCCACCCAACCCTCCGCCCCATTGAAAAAAAACAAACTGCCAACCTGAAGAACAAGAAGAATTTCTAGGTTTCCATCTTACTATTTATGAGCCTGTCTTACTTGCATGAGTGACATAAATCAGTCAGACATCAAGATGACACACAGTTTTTAGTCAATTGTTTTGTACCTAAAATCTTTCTGTTATATATAATAATTCCTAAGCATCATTAGAGACAGGTGGGAGGTTTCTCATCAACAGATGAAAAGGAGGGAGTTCCAGAATTACAAAGAATTCCTCACATCTTATGTTTATGTTTTTTCTTTTCTCTAACCTAATCTGAGTTGGTAATTGTTGGGTATTACTAACAGTTCTCTGAGATATAAAGTATTTTGAAAGTCAAAAATATTGGACACTCAGTTGCATAAATTAATAGCCTTTTATCTTCTGTGTAAAACCAGAACTAATTTCTTAAGGAAAACATGGAGTCCTGTTCAGGGGAAGTAATATCCATCTGTCTACTCCATTCATCAGACTATACCTGTTATATTGGGCTCAGTTCTAACCGCCCCGTTTTTAAAAGGCACATTGACAAATTAAAGAAATGTTCAGAACAGTCAGGCTTCCCAGTTAGTGCTAGTGGTAAAGAATCTGCCTGCCAATGCAGGAGATGCAAGAGATGAGGGTTCAATCCCTGGGTCGGGAGGATCCCTTGGAGGAGGAAATGGCAACCTACTCCAGTATTCCTGTTGGGAAAATCCCACGGATAGAGGAACCTGGTGAGCTACAACACACGGGGCTGCAAAGAGTCAGACAGGACTGAGCACTCAGAACAAACTGGGACTCTAAAACAGAGTTATGGGATGGAGGCTGAAAACCTGGGACAATCTGCCCCCAGAGAAGAGTAATAACCTTCCCCTCATAACTGTTTTTAAATGCTTGTAGGCTGTTTTTAGGAGGAGCAGCCTGTCTGGTCTGTGTTGCTCCTGAGTTCTTGTCCAAGACAGTGGCTGGCAGCTATCACAGGTACATTGTCATTACACATAAGGACAGGTCGCCAACAGAGCTACCTGACATGGCCTGGATGCCTCCTGAGGTGGTCTACCCATCCTCAAAAATAGTGTCAAAAACTTTCATGGCGAAGATCTTCGTTCTGTATAGGAGATCAGACTAGATGGCTCTCCTCTTCCAAGAGTCCAGGGTCCCCTTGTTTGAATTCCTCTGTAACTATCTTATTGTTGTCTTCAGGGCATACCATACTGGCATTGCACAATCTTAGTTCCCCCACCAGGGACTGAACCCATGCCCCTTGCTTTGGGAGTGCAGAGTCTCCACTGGACTGCCAGGGAAGTTCCAAAAACTATTTTTGATGGCTTCTCTGTTTTCTTTTACTAGATTTCCCTATGGTCTCTGCTAATGACGCTGGTGGTCCTTTTCATATTGACCGGCACTATGTTAGGACCTGAGCTGTTGGCCAGTATTCCAGCAGCTGTTTATGTGGTAGCGATTTTTATGCCTTTGGCAGGCTATGCCTCCGGCTATGGCTTAGCTACTCTCTTCCATCTTCCTCCCAACTGCAAGAGGACGGTGAGCCTGGAAACAGGGAGCCAGAATGTGCAGCTCTGTACCGCCATCCTCAAACTGGCATTTCCACCACAAAACATAGGAAGTATGTACATGTTTCCCTTGCTTTATGCCCTTTTCCAGTCTGCAGAAGCAGGGATTTTTGTTTTAATATATAAAATGTATGGAAGTGGAGTACTGCACAAGCAAGATCCTCTAGATGAAGATGAAGATACAGATATTTCTTATAAGAAACTGAAAGAAGAGGAAATGGCAGACACGTCCTATGGCACAGTGAAAGCAGATAATTTAATTATGATGGAAACCACTCAGACTTCACTCTAAATATGGAGATACACAGGAGAGTTTATCTTGCTGAAATACTACTTCATATTTATGGTCTGTCGTAGTGTCTATGGTTTACATAAAGAACAACAACTGGTTCACATCATTATACATGTAACAATTTTGATGTACCCACCATAAGGTTGCATTGGTGTATTAACCAAGCATTTACATAAATGACAAATCAGTGTTGTAATTTGCACCTGGGACTGCTAGGTTGATGGCCTGAACAAGTGTGCTTTTTGGTTTTCACCATTACCAATTTCTATGACTGTTTCAAATATGTTAAACAGGGTCTTGGAAATGTAGAATTTTATGCACTATCTTATATGAGTAAAAACATGCTATATTTGTAAAGCATAATTGAGTTGAATGTAATTATTGTGAAAACAAAGTGTGCTTGCTCAGTTTATAAATACTTGACACTGTTAAAATTTGACCTGTATTCAGAGAAATCCCCAAACAGGTCAATTAAACAATGAAATATAATATCTCATTGTCCAACCTGTTTCAAATCAGGGAAAAGTTACATTAATGTATTTGATTATTTGATCTGATATCTATTTGTAATGAACAGCCAACATCTTTCTCGTTAACAAGGCATTTGCTTTTCAACTGGGGACTGGTTCCATCTTCAGCGTTTATGTAAACACAGTCTAAATCAGTTTTCCTTTGCAAAGTTTATTTGGTCAGAAAAATCCGTGGAACGATTATCCTCCCCAGAGAATAGCAATACTTGGTGGTACTCAACAGCACCTCCTGGTCACCATTTGAGGTTGGCGGGGGACGCAGGAGGCGGGGCGGCGGGGAGGGAGTAAATTCTCCAAGGGAGAAAACAATTAGCCTAGATACGAAGCCCTAGAGTGCTTTCCCTATGCACTTACTGAAAGGGTTCAATGCGTAGATTTCTCAGAGCAACTCTGAGATGATTAAATAACGTATAATGTGAGATCGTAGGTTATCAGACCCCAAGCAGTCTCCCCAAACCTTCGCATTTTTGCTCGCTAGCCAGAGGCACCCAGCCTAGCCTCAGCTTCGGAGGCGGCAGACAATAACCGAGGAATGGCGACCACCTGGTTAATCCCGGGGATGGTTCTGCGGGTATCCTCTTCACCTGGGGCAAGGTCACTTCCAGGTCAGTCTTGCGTCGCAACGCAAGTTTTCTTTGCAGATCATTTTAGGTATATTCGCGCCGACCTCCGGGTGTGGAATATTCCCACACCACGGTCGGGGAGGGAACCCTTTGGCGGGGAAGCGAGGACCCCAGCGGGTGGGGAGGTGGGGGTGGGGCGCTGACCCAGGGCAGCGCTGCCCGCGGGGGTGGGGCCCGCGCCCGGCCGCCCCGGGAGGTCGTCTATTTAGGGCGCCGGGGCCGGCCTGCAGGCGGCAGGGGAACGCTGATGGCTGCCCTGGGGGACATCGTCCTGGATGGTTACCTGTACCCGGCGTGCGCCCTCTATTCGTACCGGTGCCTCTACCCGGCCGCAGCCGCCAAGGGAAAAAGCGGGGCGGACGAGGGTGGCTCGCGACCCCGGGGCGGGGGCTACCCTCCCGTTTCCTCCTCCTCCGACGGCGCGGCCTCGTCGTCGTTCCCGGGCCAGCGGCAGCTGGCGGCCGCCGAGTACGTCCACAGCTACCACCGCGCGCAGCTCATGGCCCTGCTGTCGCAGGTGGGCCCCCGCCGGGCCAGCACTCGGGACGCGGCGGTGCAGATGAACCCGTGCCGCGACGTGTCGGTGCAGTGCTCGCTGGGACGGCGGACGCTGGGGCGCAGGGCCCGCGAGTCCGGCCCGAGTCCGGATCCCGAGGGCGCGGTGGTCGCGGGCGGCAGCTGCCCGGCTTCCCCGCAGCGCGCCCGCCGGGGCCCGGAGCAGGACAGCCCGCCGAGCCGCGCCCCGCGGCCCGTGCGTTTCCTGCGCACCCTGGCTGTGTACTCGCCCGTGACCTCCCGCTGCCTAGCCACCCTCCTGGAAGGGGCCGAGGCCGCGGCGGGCGAGCAGAGGCCCGGGAAGCCGGAGACTGAGCGAGGGCCGCCACCTGCGAGGCCCCGAGGCCCCGAGGAGGGAGACGGGTCGGCGAAGAAGGTGTCCCAGCGGCCGCAGCCTGAGGAGGACGAGGCCCAGGCCGCAGTACCGGCGAGCCGCGAGCAACCCCCGCCGGTGGCCAGGGTCCCGGACGCCGCTGGCGAGAGGTCGTCGTCCCGGAGCCCTCAGCCGGGCAAGGAGCGCCTGCGCTTCCAGGTGAGACCCGAGTCGGCCCGGGAACTGGCAGGGGATCCCCGCGAGTTATGTTGGCTCCCATCCGCGTCCGGGTGCCCGCCCTCGGCTGCTCTCGACACGCGCCGGCGCGCTTCGGTGCCTTTCGGTGGCTGCTGAAGTCTATCTCCGTCAGCATCAAATCTAGTATAGTGGGCTTGTTGCTATTATCGTTGAACTCCAGCTGCACAGGGGTGGCGGTAGAAAAGCTCTTAACGTTCTTATTCCGAGAGTATTTGCTGACTGCCAGAGTGTAGTCAGCTGTATACAGCAAATACATCGTATGTACACTGGATGATCCAGGATGGGCCTCAGAACATGAGAAGGTGAACTTATTGGCCAGGAGAGTCGATTCCCGTGGATCCCACTCTGTTTTGAATTCACTGTGTTAGAAACCATAACCATTGACGACTGGGGTCCTGGTCAGGATTTTACCTTGCACTTAAGACGCATCCCTATTCGGAAATCTGGCGGTACTGCCGGGCACTGCTCCGCGAGAGCAGCAGGCTTGGAGGGCCATGTCGTAGTTGCCTGAACGCTAAAGAGCTGGAGCGCACTGGGGGGTTCTTACCCAGCCGAGGAGAAAGACTTGAGAAGTAGTAAGAGGCCGGGAGGGGTCCTTCTGATGTCTCCTCCAGGCCCTCAGGGCTATTTAGTGGGGGTCCGGGAAGCAAAGAGAGTGAAACAGATTTGTGCACAAGCTGTGACCGCTCCAAACTGTGTTCATACTCAAACGTTTAACCTTCCTGGACTTCAGCTTGCTCACCTGTGAAAATGCTGAGTCTTCCAAAGCTCTTTCCAATCCTAAAGACCTAACTTTGAAAAACTTGTTTGTAACTTGTTTCTTACTGAGAATAACTTAAAGAATAAGATACTACTACTTTTGTTCTTATTGTGTATGAATTAATGGCTTATCCATATTTTCAATTCTCAGCACCACTGTTTGGTAGAAACTTAACAATATAAAGAGCTTTTTTCAAGGTGTTCACCCAAGATTATTTTAGGGTGGAGTCTTATTTCTTCCGTTTGACTACTTCATTTGCGTGTGTGCTAAGATCAGACCTATTTTACAGAAAGAAAAAACTCTCCCTCTAGAATCCCAAGATTCAGGAACCCTGTATGTTTGGCTTTCCCCTTGCCTGTCTGCAGGAAAACACCTGCTTAGTAAACTGCTATTTGAACCAAGTAAATGTGGAACACAAACTTCTGTGGGCCCATGCTTTTCTATTCAATACTTGATTAAGCTATTAGCTTTGCTAATTGTTACCTTGTGGAGACCAGCTTGAACCTGATTCTGCTTTCCTCCATGGTCTGAGGCAGAGTGCCAGTTTTGAGTATCAGATCCTTTCCAGGCTGCTTGCAATGAAGGCTGGTTCAGATGGCAAGTTGGTAAAACTCTGCTGTTGTCTCGCTCAGTTCCTAGAGCAGAAGTATGGCTACTATCACTGCAAGGACTGCAATATCCGCTGGGAAAGTGCCTATGTGTGGTGTGTACAAGGCACTAACAAGGTAAGCAATGCCCTGTCACCAGCGGCATCCTGCCAAAAGATTCAGGAGGGTTTGGACTCTAAGTTTTTCCTTTTCCCTTCAGGTTTACTACAAGCAGTTTTGCCGAACATGCCAGAAGTCTTATAACCCTTACCGAGTGGAGGATATCACCTGCCAAGTAAATTGAACGTTTACATTTTATGCGTGAACTAGATAGTGATGAGAAGGTTTAGGAGTAGTTTCTTGAAAATATTCCTAAGAGAGCCTAGATTCCCAGTGACCTGAGGTTTTGATTCCTTTCTGGAAGGAGTTGTAGAAATAATACTCAACTGGGAAGCCAGGTCTCGGTGTTAGTTCCCTCCTGTTCTTATAAACCTTGGTTGTGTGAACATTTCTGGAGACTGTTGTCTCATTTGCAATGTGGAAGAATGTTTGCTTTACCTGACACTCAGTCCAGTTCAGGAGAGAGTCAACTTAAATAACAGAATACCTTTTAACATGAGGTAATAAAGGCTGACAATTTTATGCAAATACATTTCATGAAACACATACTCAAGTTATAAGTATTTAGTAAAAATACGAGTTTTTCAAAATTTTCTGTTTTGCCTTAGTTCAGAAAGGAATTTGTTTTAAAGTAAACTTAAGTTGCATGGCTTTATCAGGTTAAGTGGTAACAGGTTGCTTGTTACTATTAACTGAGCACTGCCTTGTGATAATGGGCTGTGATAATCAAAGAGGAAAGAAGGAACTAAATTTGGTGGTTACCACACCGCTAGTGGACCTTGACTTGCCAGTTGAGACAGCCTAATCGATGCCCTTGACTCTGAGAGTAGAACAAGTTCTGAAGTAGAGAGGAATCTGACAAGGAAATGGAACTTACTATAACAGCGCTGCTCTTGGCCAGCAGCTGCTGCTCTGCCTTCTGCCTCAGCTTGAGGCCCTTGGCAGCAGGGAGGGGGCCAAGGTCAGCCACTGGTGCCAGGCCTGCTACTAGCTCCTGGCCTCACACCTTCACTTTTGTTGTCAGACTCCTCTCTCCTACCTGGTAGCTCTCCACCCTGGCTTCAAGGGTAGGAAAAGATTTCCTCTTAAACTTCTTCAAAAGAAGCTTCACAATTTAGAATCGAATCCTATGCAAAATGGGAGCAGGAGTGCATGATGGAGGTGCTCTGTTCCTCCCATTCCTGTCCTTGCAGACAGAACAAGGTTAGCACAGAACCTTGCTTAGTGTGCATTCAGGTAGTATTTGAATGGACT